GAGGGGAAAAATGAGGACCTAATGCCGGGGGACTTAAGTGGAGAGGAAATGTTTTGAGAATGATGAGGGAAATGAATGTACAAATGCGCTTTACACAATTGATGTATGTATGGATTATGATAACAGTTGTATGAGCCCCTAATAAAATGATTTTTTTTTAAATCCAGAAAGTATGTTTTTACAATAATAACTCAATCATGTATCACCAAACTGGTTTACAGAAAGAAGACAGTCTATTCAAAGAATCAGTACATGAAATGGTAATCATACACTCATAATTCAACGTCAGTGAGAGGGAGCACTGGCTATTTAAAAAGAAAAAAAAAAAGAGGGCTCTGTTTTCAAACCACAACATGAGTAGTGGGCACGCAGGCATACAAACACAGCACTTACAACTTCTTCCTCGGCAGGCATGTCTAAAATCTGTCATACTCACTAACGGTTCTCATCAAAGTCGGTTTTAAGTTTAAATGCCAGTAGTAAAAAACTAGAACCGAGAAAACGTGCCTTTAACGTGAAGAAAGCTGGCAAACATGATCTTAAACAATAATGTAAACTGGCATCAGCAGTGCTGCCGCATGGCTATCATCCACCCGTGAAAGGCATGGGAAGGCCTCAAGAGAATTCAGAAGATCCAGCGCCAGGCTCTGATCATGGGAAGACAGCAAACAAACAGAACGGGAATAGTTCACCAAGACCTGACCAGGCGTCCTCGCAACAATCAAGATCATGAGAACAGAGAAGAGAAACTGTCACAGACCAGAGGGAACTACGGAGACACGACAACCTACGGCAACGAGACGCAGAAAACATTAAGGAGACACTGGTAAAATCCATATGAAGTCTGAAGTTTAGTTAATAGTAACGAACCAACAATGACTTTTTACTTCTGATAAAGGCACCAAGCTAATGTAAGATGTAAGCAACAGGAGTTAGGTGAGGGATATATGGGGGCTCTGCATATCATTTTTATAACTTTTCTATAAATCTAAAGTGATTCCACATAACAAATACAGTAAAACACAATCAAGATTAAACAGTTGTGAGAGGTAACCAATATTGTAAGAATGAAATTCCTGACTTTAAAGACGCCAGAAAAGTCGCTTTTTGCTGAGAACCAAATAATGTTCCAAGACAGATAAATCTCTAGGTTGTGCTTCTTCGATTACCTGCACTGAAATACTCATCCTCGGAGAGGGCCGTCACCTCAGTGTCCAGCGGGATGGGGTCACACAATAGAATGTCTTTGCCCAACACATCGCACTCGTACCCATCATCAAAGAGCAATTTATACTTCCCAGCTCCGACATCTCGGGTGATTTTCCCGGAGTAAAAGTAACCATTGGATGACCACTTGGCTACCACCCGGAGGCCTACAAAGCTGTTCCCTGGAGAGGAGGTGTCCAAGCCATCAGAGGCGCCAGCAGCAGCCTGAAAAGGAATCTCTGGGGAATCACTGCGGCGCAAAGCACCAGCACCCAGGTCTGCACGCCTGCTGGAGTCTGGTGCTCGGGGCACGATGCGAGTGAAGGCTTTCTCATCTGGCGACATGCTGGGTGAGATATCCTCTATGCCCAAGAGGCCAGGAGCAGTGGTATCTCTGAAGAGATATAAAAATAGCATAAGGTTGTGAGAATACAAAGAGAAAACTTGTACATACAACCAATTTTCCCACTTCTTTGTCCGTGGATCTCTTCAGCCCATTCTTTGATAACCCCACCACAGGCACGAGCCTGGTCTTTCAATGGAATTCACTCTAATCCCTGCCCACTCCCCAGTCTTCTCCCTCTCGACACCCCACATTCTCGCTACTCCCCTCTTCACTCTACTCCCTTTTTTTCCTACACAAGTCATAGACTAAATGTATCTCACACTACCCGGGTACCTGGTTCCAGTGGTCCGAGAAGGCGGGCGGCCCCTTCGCCCGCGCCCACGAGGCGTGACTGGAGCCTTCCCTCCCTGTCTGATGCCAAGGCCTGCATCACCATCCTCCTCACACACTGGCGCCCCTGTCTGACTGACCCCTTTTCTAGGACTAGAGAATGAAGACAGGTTAGTCTGATTGCACCTGCTACTGAATCTCTTCTTCACAGTCTCCCCTTAGCCCTGGTGACTAAGTGTCAGGCCTCCAGGGCAGCAGGAAGCTGACCCACACACCCACCACCAAAACCTCCGCCAGCCAGCGGGCAGGGTGGGGTCACAGGGAAGGACTGCTCCTCTACGTGAACCTAATCCTTCTCAGCAAAGCTTCCTACAGCTGCCCCCGACAGCAGCATGCTCGCTGCCCTCTGCCTGCTCTCCTCCAGGCTCTGGACACCTGGCAGAGGGCAAGATGACAAGTATTGTCCCATACCTTCTGGATTCCCGCCCCAAACCCTCGTAAGCTGCATCACATGGGGATGTTAAGAGCATTTCCCCCTACCCTACAGCATTCCCAACGTCTCATCACCCGTTTCCCACATTATCTCAGAGGCTTCTTTACCAACAATGTCTGCTTCCCACAGGACACCACCCTGCCTCCCAAGCAAGCCCCTCAAAGGACAATAACAAATGAGGAGGATGAGGAGTCGGTTTTCCTAGGAGGAAGGTGGGGTGGATTTACTCCTCTTTCCCTGTGATATTAGCATGCCAGCAACCCTGCCCCTGCTGTGGCTCTCCCTCTGGAGACCCTGTCTGCACCTCAGTTTTCCTGGGCCTCCTCGAGAGCTGGGTAAGGCAAAATCTGCGGGCTCTGTCCCGCTGGTTTTCCCTTTGAGTGGTCCGGCTCCTCTCCCTGAGCTGCCACTGCTGTGCATGGCTGAGAGATTCGTCCCACTCGATGTGCGGTGTAAGCTGGATGCTTTCGAGGAGAAGGAGCTGATATCCCCCAGATCACCAGAGGAGCCCCCCGTCTGTGAAGGGGAAACTTCAGTTTCACACTCCTGACATTCTACAACTGGATCTTCGGACTCCTGAAAGGAAGAAATAGATAGAGAACTAAAAGAAACCACAATAACATAGTGCCTGTGGGAGGATTAGGAAATCCTGCAGAGTCTAAGAAAGTGGGAGTCAGGAGGGAGCTTTCTAGAGTAATGCAAGTATACTGAACCTTGTTTTGGGTAGTGGTTACATGAATATACATACCAACGGTCAAAATCTACACTTTTAAGATCTGTGCATTTTACTAGGAATATATTAATGTCAATAAAAATAAAGATGGCACTGGATAGGGGAGAGATCTCTATACGAAGTTACATTACCATTTTATTAGACAAGTTCACATCCTCTGGTTGCTGAGGTCATCCCTGTCTAAGTTAGGTAAAGGAGGTAAGTAGTTTAGAGGAGGAAAATGACTGACAGCTGGAAGCCCTCCTAGGTACATGATTAGCAGCTGTCATCAGCACTCTGCATTTTTTGACACCATTTTTAAAATTATCTTTCAATAAGCAATCAAGGAAATAAGAATTAATGAGCCAAATGGTATTTTGTTAGGAAAAAATGAAGAACCAAAGGTTATGATGGAAGTATAGGCCATATGAATGCCAAACTGGTTTATCTCACATGCCTACTTCAATGGCTGAATTCATTTTTAAGAAGACTTCTGAGATTAAACAAGGCACAGTGGGAGAAGGTTTTAAGACCAATATATTCCCCAAATCTAGCTCAGTGCCTGCAATAAAATAGTACCTCGGTAATAATTTATTAAATGAAGGCTTTTCACCTCAAACCAGTAGCCTATTTATGTTCTCGTTCTCAGTATACAGGGCCACCATCCATACACCTGCCCAAGCCAAAACCTGGGGAATGTTAGATTCCTCCCTCCCACTAAGTTCCACGTTCAGGACCTCATCAGAGCCTATTGATTTTACTTCCAAAATACTTCTTACACAATGAAATCTATGAGACTGATACCTGATGGGACCACCTTGTTTAGGTCTCACAAGTTTGCCGCCTTTGATGGAATGCAATCTTACCACTTCTCAACGGCTATTTATTTACAGTGTCCTTCTCTAACAAGTTTCTACCTTTCACAGGTTTTACTGTGAGACTTCTCTCCTCTCAACCTCTGGTGCTACTGTACAAACTTGCATTCCCATTGTCCTGAACTATGCCTCCAATCTCAACCCCCTCCAACCTACTATCCCACTGAACTTTCCCAACATGCAAGTTTGAGCATGCAAATCACTTCCCCCAGGTTTGTCAAAGCCTACAAATAGAAAATTAAAATCTAAACTTTTTCCCCATGATATACAAAAAGCCCTAAATATGCTGGGTTAACAATCTCTCCAGCATCCTCTCTCACCAGTCCCTACCCTGCACAAGCTCGTCATACGGAGCTTCTAGATGTTCACCAAACGATGTCCTCCTCTCCCTTCTTCAACATTAGCCACCACGCTGTTCTGAGCACTCCTCCTGCGGTCTTTTAGTTCCTCCACGTGGGCTTGCAGGTGCCATCTGCTCTTTTGCACATGGTCTCCACAACTACAGACTTGTTGTATGTCAACCCTAAGATCTGGACAACGGGGACCACTGTCTTTTTATCTTCATAACCTAGTGCCTGTCACAGTCTAGAGAGGTAATGGGTCACAATGAGCAAACGATATAAAGAAACAAAGGTTACAAAAGACGGGGAAAGGTAAAGTTCTTCCTTCTCTAAGCATGAAACAGCCTTATACTTGGGAGGGTTTCCTAGTCTTCCGCCCAGTAAAACCATATATCAGAGTTCAACTCTCCCTGGGCACAAAATATGGCTGGCAGGTAGAATTAAAGTGTCTATGTGAATTTGACAAGAGAAAAAAGGAAAGGAAGAAGAAAACAGATGTGCCTTTTAAAAATTACCGTAATAAAATGATTCCTACATCTTAACATATGCACCAAGAAAGGTTCCAGATCTGTCAACATCTACCCAATCTTATGCAGAATTAGTTCTAAAGTCAAGAAGTGACCTTCAATAAATGTCAACACCATTCAGATATTAGTCCAAAATGCATCACTCTTAAGTGACAGTGCATTTCTTAACAACAGGCCTGTAACCACACAAGCAGAGAGACCACAAGAGAACACAGTGGGTAAGCACATAAAAGCACACGAGAAAACAAGGAAGACGTGCACATAGCTCCATTCCATTCACAGCATACGCACTCTTTATACTTGTACGTGAGACTTAGAGATAGATAGCAGTCTGTTCTGCACAGAGAGGAACGCAGGGCGGTCTGGCTATGTAACTGCGCAAAGGTCCACAGTAACCCAGTGTCGGGACAGGCAGAGCCCACGGTCGTGTTTCTAGCCCACTTTGCCATCTTGCAGCCATCTCCCTTTCTGTTTCCTGCTTTTTAAAATATTGAAGGAAAATAAACTGACTTTCTCTGCAAGGAAGTTGCCACGCCGACCCAGGGTTACCTCGGTTACTCTTCTTTCTATTTCCGTTCCGTCCACGTAATACACGTCTGTGATGACACGAGTGACCAGAGTGCGCACTTCCCGGATTGTTCGCATGTGGCGATGTAAGACATGGCCGCGCGGAGGCCGAGGCATTTCAAACTCTTCCTCTCCCTGGGGTGTGGAAATAGGACACAAGCACAGGCCTAAACACAAACTGACAGCATCATAACCCAGCTTCATGATGAGCGATGTTCAGAGCTCCCCATCAATCTGTGGTGAAAGAATTTCCAGCTCCTCTGTTTTCTAGACACCTACAGTTAAGATCCAAGGATGGACCCAGATGGCTGCACAATCGGATGCTAAGAGGAGTTTGTATCAGCATGACTAAAATGATCTGTTTCTGTCTAAATAACAACCACAACATCTAGCACGATGTAAGAATGATATATCCCCAGATATAATGGGGACAATTAGGAAAACCTTTGATTCTTAAAAGTAACATTTTTTTAAAAATTATTTTCAGACTGCAATTTCTGATTCTGAAGCTAGCTTGTCCACCAGTACAGTAAGCGCTCCTTATCTGCAGTTTCTGTATCTGCAGATTCAGCCAACAGAAGATCAAAAATATCCAGGAGTGGGGAGGTGTGGGAAGCAATTAAGTGGTCATAGGAACCTCTGACAGGCTGAGAGAGAGCATGAAGTGCTATTTGCATAGCATTTACATCGCATTAGCTTTACAAGTAATCCAGAGATTTAAAGTTCTGGAGGAAATGTGTAGGTTAAATGTAACTACTATACCACTTTAAATAAGAGATTTGAGGGCACCTGCAGATATTCTTTTCTTTTTTTTTTTTTTAGGAATGCAGAGGGTGAACCCACCCTCTGCAGATATTAAGTAATAACCATATACAAGTTTACAATTGCAAGAGCTCTTTAAATTTTTCTGAATAGAGCGGACACTCCTTAGTCTTTTACATAAAACTAGTGAAACGCCTGTTCAATTGAGTGATATCTGTTTTCCCTGCATTAGTAGTGAAAAGCAATGTACAAAATATTAATCTAGTCCAAAAAAGATTGTTGACCTAGAGAGTTGACCTAGTGTCTAGAACCCAAAAATGTTATCAAATTAGGATTCTGTATCTAGTTCTGAGTAAATAATAGTTAAAATAGAGGTATTTAAGGAAATTGGGCTTCTTTAATTAAAAAAAAAAAAAACATTAAACAAACATTTTCTAAAAAACTTATGAGGACCAGGCAATGTTAGACACACATACCTGATGGAAAATTCAGGACAGGTATGATTTATTCAATACTTCTGAAATAATTCAAATGTATTATCTCTGATTTACAAAAATATGTCAACATCAACATCCATTCAAAATAGGTTCACTAAAATAGCACTAAAATTCATTATCTTCTGTCTATAATTTTCTATTTATAGATAACCCGAGTTCATGCTTCAGTGACAACCGGATCATTTTTATTTAAAGATGACTTCTTACCAAACTAGATTTCAAAACCCTACTTACAACCTCTATTATATAAAAGGTCCTGTCTTTAAGTCTTGTAACAAAGGCATTGTCACATTTGTCCAAGTGTGCATCCCACATCTACTTTGGCTCTGCAATCTGAAGGACAAAGTGCCTATCTGTGCCTTCCACTGTACTTCTCCCATATGAAGGCTGCTTTCACTTTTAGCAGTCAGCACCAAGATAGCCAAATCTTCAAAAAGAGTTACATCGACCACTGCAATGCTGATTCTGGGTTATCCTTGAGAAGGTGTAGTAATGTTCTGAAATTTACCAAAACGTTCAACAATTTACCAGACTTGCACACCATCATTAGGGATAAAATATCTGCTAAAACAGAAATGTGTAAATGTGATGAATAAATATGGATAGAATCAAAAGCTTAGCCAACTGATTGTTAGCCCTTAAAATATTTCTATATATATAACTCTAGTTGCATATATAACAAATGGTTCACACCCCAATCATCAGAACCCTTGCAGCCCAACGTCCTGCCAGCACATACAATCTGTTGAGCTAGTCTATGAAAAAGGGTCTAAAAGGTGTCAAGGTATGTTTTTACATCCTTCTAAATAGTAAACCACCATTCAAACGATCGCTCCAACATAGACATGGCTTAAACATATCTTGATAAATAAAGAAGAGGAAAGTGGGGGGTCAGATTTTTTTAAAGGGTACACGTACTCTCTCTTCAAACAGTCTTCTGAAAAGAAGTTGTGTACACACAAGTAACTTGAGGATCTTGTCATCAACAAGGGAAGAAAACAACGAAAATAAAAGCACATTTCCTCTTTAGAGAAAACCTGGCTCCAGACCCAGTGAAAACTAAATTAAAACTGTGTTTATTTAGACGTTCCCCATCTTGGCAGAAGCAACAACTCTTCAACGTGCCACCTCACCCTGTATGAGGGCACGATGAACGTCTATTATCAAGAGTGACTGGAGGGTTAACTGGTACTAGCAGTAAATGGTGACAAGGATAACAGCAAATAGGTAGTATCAGCAGACAGCAGATATTAGCCATTAGCTGTTTGCCAGGCCTAGGGCTGGCACGATCTGAAGAACCCGGCATCAGGACTGGAGGAAGGTTTAACAACCCTCGATAGGCAGGCGACAGCACCTGGTTGCTCGAAGTGAGGACTTGAAGCACTCGCTGAAGATCAAAAATTGAAGCCTTCAGTATGGATTACAACTCAATGTAAAGAAAACCCAAACCCTCACACCTAGCCCAGTAGATAACATCATGACAAAGTCGAGAAAAGGAGGAAGCTGTCAAGGATTTCATCTTGCTTGGATCCACAATCAATGCTCAAGGAAGCAACAGTCGAGAGATCAAATAACGCATTTCATTAGGTCCATCTGTTGCACCAGACCTCTTAAAGTGTTGAAAAGCAAGGATGTTACTCTGAGGACCAAGGTGTCTGACGCAAACCAGGTTCTTGTCCATAGCCTCACATGCATGTGAAAGCTGGACACTGGAGAAGGATCAATGCATCTGCATTGTGGTGCTGGGGAAGAATACTGACAGTTCCATGACTGGCCAAAGAACAAACAGATCTTTCTTGGAGGAATTGCAGTCAAAATGCTCCCTGTAGGCCAGGGTGGCGAGATGGACTGACACTGGCTGTAACAAGGGGCTCAAACCTAACAATTGTGAGGATGGCACAGGACCAGGTGGGGTTCTGCTCTGGTCGCTGTGAGTCAGAACTGACCAGACCGTACACAACAACAAGGCCCAGTACTAAGTGTTTAGCACATCTAATCTATTTCATCTTCATAATACCCCACTGTGGTAGTTCACTATTATTGTCCTCTTTTTCACAGATGAGGAAACTGAGGCACATAGAGGGGAGCAAAGACCTCTAAAGCCAGAGAGTTAAAATATGATAGAGCGGGGATAAAATCTAGTCTGATTCTAAAGCCTGGCGCCTTAGTCAGGGTGGTTCGATGTATACAACATAAGGGGATATGAGCTGACATCAGTCCCCTATATTATACAGAGAGAATATGAGAAAGTAAAGGAAAAATTAAATCTAGTGGCTTTCATAGTATTGCTATCTTTAAGATCAAGTTTAACTCCTTTTCTAAAGATAGTGAAACCCACGTATTATGTAGGAGATTGCAAACACATTAAATTATGGGTGAAAATAAGCAAAAGCAAATTAGGGTTCTGACAGGTTATGGTCCCTACATTTAAAAAATATAATATAGTGAAAACTGTAACGGCCGGAACTGGAGGAACTCTATCACCATTTTAGTGGAAAATATTTGTTTTTTTCTTCCCTAACAGGTTTTTCCCCTACACAAGTTCCAGCTTTCATAGATCTTACTGTATTGTTGACCTTTGAACAATACAGGCTTAAACAGCACAGGCCCATCTATATGCAGATTCACACACACACACACACACACACACACACACACACACACTGTACTATAGTTAGCTTTAAGTGTAGAGAGTAGCCACTTAAAACACCACATGATGCTAACCATCTGCATGCACAGTTCCTCTCAGCAGACATGATTAGCATTTGTGTGACACTTTCAGCGAATTCTCACAACACTTGAGCTCACAGGAAAATAAATCCAGGAATAAGTAAGTTCAAACCTATGTTGTTGAAAGAACAAATGTAAATTAAATTCTAATTTTCAACTCTGCAGGGGTCAGCAACCCTAAACCCTCAGATTGTCGACAGTATCTCAAATCTACAAGGATGATAAACATTTAGGTCTCAGAGACTGGGTTACTATAAAAGTCTAATATAAACCATTTGGGGAGTCACTGGAGCAGCACAGATAAACAGAAAAAGACTACACAGATCACAATGAAAGACAGAAAAGCATAGTGAAAAAAATACCGATTCTGGAGCCACATATGTAGAGTTCAAATTCAAAATCTTGGGCAAGTTACTTAACCTCTCTTCAGTTTGGTTTCTTTACCTGTGAAATGGGAATAATACCAACCTCATGGGTTGTCTTGAGCACAATGCTGATCGACTGTAAATGTTCAATAAATAAGAATATTATTTTGACTTTAGAAAACAAACCACTTGGACGATCACACCTGAAGCTCCCCTAAACTGACCCTAAGTGAAGATGATCTAACACAGAAATGAAAAAGGCAATTTTGGATCCCCAAACCACCTTGATGAAATTCTGCAAACTTCCTCTTATTTGTTAACAGGTACATTTTTACCACCACTACTTACTCAATTCTGCTTAGGGTCTACACAGCCCCGTTACTCACTTCTAGAAACATGCTCTTCAAACCTTAGTGCCAACTCCTCCAATTACTCTCCCTCTATTATCTTTAGGCTCTCTGCTGCCACCGGAAGATGTCCCGCCCTCATCTTCCTCTACTCCTATTACTTTTCTTTCTGTTATGCCGCCTTCCCTTACTTGCTATTTTATAAATTTCTGGAGACAACGATGAAAGTAGACTTAGAGAACTCGTTCTAATGGTTAGAAAAACAGCAGAAGGGTAACACTACAGAGTAATATAGGGCTTAGCCTATCTTCCTGGCTCTCTTTACCAATAGAAAACTTGAAAAACTCTAGCAGTATTCCATTTTCCCCAATAAACTACCTATTAGCTGTAGTTACAATTTGCTCTCTCTTTATCGTGGATAGTTTTTGCTTTTTAACTACTATACAAAACTGTTAAGCATTATCATTGGGTAGAAGTGCCACAGCTTAAATACTCGGGGAAGCCATGAACGCTGAAAATAAGGGTGAGGCAACCAATAGGTTCTCTCACCTGGCTATGCAGTGACTCAGTCTCATCCCCAGGGACAATGGCCAGTTTCTCACCACTCCCCTTCTCAGTCTGAACTGTGGCATCTTGTTTTCCAGAGTTCTGCTCCACTGTACTGGTCCCCTGCTCACATACATTCTTTATAGTCTGGGTTGCTGCTGAAACAGTTTCTGGGGCCCATGGGGAACGCTCCATGGTCTGGATTCCTATGTTATTTTGGCTAGGCCTTTCAATAATAGCTTTACTAAGTTTTTCCTGATTGGTATCCCGTCGTTCTTTCTGGCTCTCTGGAACATCAGTCTCCATTGCTTCTACTTGAGGATCGGATGGTCCTTGTGAGGCCATCTGCTGGGAGGTAGGAGCAGCAGACTCCTTGGCAACGCTAAGAGATTGCAAAGGCTGTGGATTCTGCCTAGTCCTTTGGTCACCCTCCAATTTTTCCTTCTTTGCTTCTTCTTGAGTACTTGGAAAATGAAGCAAGTTCTCCCTGAAAATCAATCATATATAGAAATCATGTCAAGTAAGCAAGAGGGTGTGTGTATGAATGGTGTGTTTGTGCCAATACTAGTAGGATGGGACTTTATTTTGTCAGAGAAAAATAAAATGGTCAAGCATCTCACTTTGTGAGATTCCTTATAATTTCACTATGAAAAATAATCACTTATGTAACAATGACAAAATAGTCATAAAACTTTTCCCTATCTACAAACTCTGAAATATGACACAACAAAATAAGGTAAATAAAAAGATGTAAAGCCATTGTTGAAGTCAAAAATATTGAAAGGCCGTTTAGGGAGCTCCTTAAAAAAATTAGGTCAAGATGTCTCATTTGGCTTTATGACGGTTTCTAACATTTCTTAACTGACTTCTGGCATTCTCGATCCTGCTTATCCTATCTTGGCCGATCATTTTAGGAAAAAAAATTAAGTCTGTAAGGATAAAGTTGTTAATGAGATTATAGTTTTGCTACCCATTTTGCTGTATCTACAATTAACCATTTCAGAATGACAAGATTCCTCAAAAACAGTTCTCAAGACATAGCACACTTCTCATTAGTCTTATCATTTGAGTAATCAATGATTCATTTAGTTATTCACAAACATTAAGTGGAATTTCTTCCATGAAACAGAGGGATTATTAACTCCTTACCATGAGCCGTTTGATTCCCAAGAATATCAATGAGCTGACATTTCATAATCAGAATATTTTCACTTAAAGCTATGACATGGTTCTTCTATGTACAGTTGACCCTTAAACAACACTATTTGAATTGCATGGATCCACTTTTATGTGCTTTTTCTTTTCCCCTGTTGCAACTTTGGTGAGCTTAATTGCTATATCAGCATCAAATACCACATGATGCTGATGTGAAGCTACAAAGTGCACACATGGACACAATGGAGATGATCAGGTTCTAAAGGTTTTAAGCGGCTATTCGAAACCTCAACCAAAACAGAAAAACACTAAACTAAACACATCCACTGCTTTCAAAGTTTGAACTCATGTTGTTCAAGGGGCAACAGCAAATTATACAGATTTTCTACCACAAATACCACTTTAAGAGATAAACCTATTCACAATAAAAAGTTAAAATATATTTATACTTTCTGACAAACAACACAGTCTCACGTTATACTATCTTTTAAAAATTATTAAGTGCAAAAGTCAAATGATATCTACTCTAAAATACCAGATTATTTTCAATATTAAATATGATAATCGTGTATTACAAAAAAAATTACTCCTTATTTAAAAGTTAAGTACAAAAAAATGGCTTTTAAGTTAAAACTTTCCCCTCTACTTCAGAATTTTTTAAAGGATCATGAAGACACTATGAGAAAACCGTCATTCTGCCAAGAATAAGTCACCACACAATTTGGAATGTCAAACACCCTAGATTGTTCTTAAAAGAAAAATGTACCCTATGAGAACCTAAAACCAAACCAAACCAAACTCCCTGTCACGAGTCAGGGCCATAGGACAGGGGAGAACCACCCTGTGAATTTCCAAGACTGTAATGGTTTGTGGGAGCAGAAAGCCTTTTTCCCATGGAGCAGCTGGTGGTTTCAAACCAAGGACCTTGAGAATGACAGCCCAATGCATAACTACTACACCACCAGGGCTCCTTAGGGGAAACTAAGGTGGGAAATAAAAGGCTTGGTAAAAGAGAACATTATTTCCAAAAGTAAGAGAAAAAGGAATACTCTTAGAAAGGTAGAGTTATATAAATTACTTTAATAAATTTATAATGACTTAGACACTTCAAAATGATATTATGAATCTACCTGGAACATGCCATAGTCCCTCAGAGTGAAACAAATAAACTCAAGCTCATAATCTAGTGGATTCAGACTCATGGCAACCCTGTTAAAACAGAGAACTGGTAGACTCAAACCCTCCACCTTTATATTCAACAGCTGGGTACTTACACGCTGCACCATCAGAACACTCTAAAATACTTAATACAATTTCTCAAGATATCTCATTTATGAATCCACCTAGAATATAAGGGGCTTCAAAAAGTTCATGGAAAAATTCCAGTATTTTCAAATTCCATTATCCAGGAACTTTCTGACGCCCACTCAAATAACATAGTCCCTCAAAATAAAGACATAAATAAGCTCAAGCCCACAAGATCATCATAATAAGTACTAGATTTCTGTGTCAACCATTTTGTGAATCAATATAGCCCCAAAGATGCTGTGGTAATAATGCTTACCTGATGGGTGCAGAGGGGGGATCCTGATTTCGGGCCTCATCCTCTTGCCTGGTTTCACAGACACAGCTAAACACAGATATGGTCTTCTGGGGACTAAGGGAGTAATGGAAACAATATATTGTGTTCGTTTTGAAAGGAAAAGTGCATCATGAGATTATCTTTTTAGGTAAATCCCCCCCACTCCACCCCACCACCAAACAACGCCCCAAATTCAGTGGCATCAAGTCAATGCCGACTCATAGCAACCCTATAAAATAGGTCCCTATAGAACTGCCCCTAGGTTTGCGAGACTGTAACTCTTTACAGAAGTAGGCAGCCCCACACAGGAGAAATACATTAGGACAAAGACACGGTATCCTAAACTCTAAACCAGACTTAAACCAATTAAATTCCTCATACTTAAATTAATAATAAAAGCTCTCAAAGAAGACTAACAGGAATAATAATGTAAACAAAGGACTATATTAAGGAAACAAAGATGTACTCAACAAAATCCAGAGTGTAGGAAACTATATTGGACAATGAACTCAATCTCTTCAACAGATAAACTGTAAATGGAGAAAAGTGAGGGGAATTCACTAGAATAAAAAGTTTGATTTAAGAATCATTAGAAATCACACTGTTACATGCGGGCCTTTTATTTGTTTCCTCTTAATAGGCACATGTACAGATTCATACAAGCTGTGCCAAGCACACAAATTCTACTAAAACCAAAGAGAAAAAATGGGAACGCTTTCCTCTTTAAGCAACATCGTATCAATACAGGGTCTTCAACTGAGTAAAAGCTCTAATGTACCTCTCTTTCCCTTTAATATTGAAGCGCACAAAGGTATAAAACCAACCTGAGGCATAGCAAACAACTAATCAAAATATCTGAGCCTTACGACTGAGGGTCAAATTTAGCCTGCACATATTTTATTTGATTTATCAAGAATTTCTGAATAAAAAAAATAAAAAAAAAAGAATTTCTGAATCATCTCATGGCAACAAACAGGAATGGAGCATACATTTGTGAACCATGGTCCTTAACATTCCAGCTAGGCTTCTTGCACTCAGACTACTTTACCTATTTGCAGCACCTAACTAAACTTTCAGAAATCTCATTTATATTTCAGCAACTGATGCTAGTGTATTCCTGGTGGATGACTAAGGCCAGAAACAATTCTGCTCTCGCAGCCGCCAGATGGCAAAGCTTAACCACCTGAGCTGCAAGGATAGGGTCATGCTCGTCCTCAAACCATCATAACATTCATGACAAAGCAAAATCAACAGCTCCCCAGAGCAGTTAACCTGGCAGGCACACAGAAGATATCTGAGACTGTGGCTGAGTATGGGGTCCCAGGAGGAGCAAGACCCACAGCTATCTCTTATGAAACTCTCCATGTCCTCAACACAACAAGCAGATTCCTCAACAGAGAAAGAAAACAAGGAGAGCAGAGCAGGGAGCTCTCATATGAACAAAGGAAAGGCCTTCAAATATCATATTTTTAAATACAGCAAGCACTTTACTGATCTGAAAACATTAATAAGAAAGCCCAAAGATTCAACCTATTACTAAATCTTTTATGCTGGTACTTTTTAGCTCTGTTAATAAATCATCTTCCAGCATTACCAGTAGCTCCGTATTAAAAGGCCTCTAAATAGCAACAGCTCTGGTTACCTGGCAACAGACTCAGCAACAGTGGTTTTTCTTTCACTAGTTGCAGGCTCTGCATAAAAACAAAGCAAAGGAAAGGCAAAATTCAGTTAGTATCACATCCAAAAATCTTCATAATACTCTACTAGTATTTTCCCCCAACTATCTAATGAAATAGGCAATAGTAAATGAACATAAAAAACATCTTAAAAGTATAAATATTTCTCACATCAATTGGGTCACCAGTTTTCTTTCAAACTTCCTATAAAATCCCAATCAATTAAGGGAAAAATATATTACTAGGTAGTAACACTAGAAAATAAAAATTAAACTTCTGACTCATAATTCATCTCTATTCACACAGGAAATTTAAAAAAGGATATATAAGGAAATGTTTTAGGATATAAAATGTTTATTTTAAATAGTGGACAGTTTTTCGAGCACCCACAAGCAGAAGGTACCTAAGTTCTTCTAAGTCATTTTTAAAACAAATATATTTTCAAGAAATAACTACAGTGGCAGGAGTGCGATATTAATCTGATAAAATAAATGTCAATGAAACATATGATAAAAGGGATAATTTAACATGAAAACATAACTGTAATAAACATCCATGCACCCAATGAAAGACCCCCAAAACATTCATCAGACTCTTGTAGAGCTGAAGAGAGAAAGAGGCAACACTATAATAATCGTAGTAGACCTCAATACGTCACTCCAAGGAATGACAGCACACTATTAAACTAAGCAAAGGCACAGAGGAACTAAACACAACTGACCAACTTGACTTTGACCTCCTGGATATATACAGAACACTCCAACCAAACAGCACAATTTACCTTCTTTTCTAGCACATAAAGAACATTCTACAGAACAGACCATATGCTGTGCCACAAAGCAAGCCTTAATGTAAGTAAGAACATCAAGAGAGTACAAACCATCTTCTCAGATCACAACCCTATAAAACTATAAATCAAAATCTGGAATATGGGGGAGGGCAGAACCAAATACATGGAAATTGAACAAGATCCTGCTTAAAAACTACTGGGTATTGAAGAAATAAATGAAAATTGTAAATTCTGTGAAAGAAATAAGACTAAATATACAAAATACCAAAACCTTTGGGACGCAGCTAAAGCAGTAGAGGACAATTTAAAGCAACAAATGCGCCCGTCAAAAAAGAAGGCTCAAGATCAGCATCGTAACCCACATCTCCAAAATCAGAACAAAAGCAGCAGCACAAGCCTCAGCCACCAGAACAAACAAACAAAGATCAGAGCAGAAATAACAATCCAAAGCAAAAAAGCAAAAGGAAGAATCAAAAAGACAAGAAGGTGGTTCTTTGAAAGGATTTATGAAATTACAAAGCACTGGAGATGAAACTATCATGATTAAAATGAAATGGGCGACATCACAACCAACTGAAATAAGAAAAGAGAACAACATAATACGCTCAAGGCTCGGACTCCAACAAATTCAGAGACCTACAGGACATGGACAGATTTCTAGAAATCCATCACCTGCCTGAGCCAACACAGACTGGTAAAAAGGACTGAACAGACCCACATCAAAATGGAAATCCGCCCGGTCAGTGAGATTCCCAACAACAATACAACAATCTAAGGCCAGACCGCTGCACCTGAGAATTCTACTACACGTTCACAGAGGAGCTGATGCCAATTCTATTTAAATTACTCCAACATACAGAAAAGGACAACAAACTCCCAAGTTTATTTTATGAAACAAAGAAAAAAAATATTTTGGAAAAAGAACCTGAAGCAATAAAGTGATCCTGAAACAATTCCATTAAATAGCACCTAAAAAATGAATAAATAAATAAATAGTTAAGGAATAAGTATAGCAAGAAAAGTGAAAGCTTTGCATACTAAAAACTATAAAACATGACTGAAAGAAAATGGAAATAAGTGAAAGGACATTCCATGTTCAGAGACCGAAAGACTTAATACTGATAAAATGTCACTACTCCCCAAAGCAATCTATAGACACAACATAACGACCCATCAAAATTCCAAGTCTTCTTTCCTGGAATGAAAAAATCCACCCTCAAATAACAACATAAGACAGCTACATTTCCTGATTTTGAAACACCATCATCAAAGTACAGTAATCAAAACCGTCTGGCACTGGTACAGACAATTAGAACAATGGAACAGAACTTAAGAGTCAGAAGTAAACCCATAAATCTATGTTATGGTCAACTGGCTTTTGGCAAGGGTGCTAAGTCCATTCAGAGGGGGAACAGTCTCTTCAATAAATGGAGCTAGGACAATTGGGTATCCACAGGACAAAAGGCAGGGAGGGGCCTGGTGGGCACAAAACTGGGCCCACACTCACACCACATGCAAATGTAACACAAAATGGATGAAGGACCTAACTGTAAGAACTAAAACCATAAAACTAGTAGGGAAAAAAGGATATTGTCTATTTCGGGATCAAGACTTTGACAAAGGATTTTTAGGTATAACCCCCAAATCATAAAGACAAACTAGATAAACTGTACTCCCATCATAATTAAAACCTTTTTCGTATCAAAGGGTTTTATAAACAAAATTAAGAAACAATCTATAGTTTGGGAGAAAAAAAAGTAAAAATAAGTTCTTTATCTTATAAATAAGACTTTTAAAAGTATGAGGAAAAATCCAATTGTCCACAAACTTTTACAAGTCCCCTCATTTATTCTGGATATTAACATTTGTACGATTCATTCTTCTACATAGGAGTTAGTCAAAAAGAACTGCTATAAAATCACAGAACTCTGTGTTAAACAAGAGTATCAAAATGTGGTTACTGTTTCTCAACATATTCTCCATCTCAGGTCTTTATGCTGCTAAGGTGGTGCGTACTGTCCAAGTGACTCAATCATGTTCCTTTTAAATGTTCTCTGAGTTTAGGGAACAAGAAGTCTGAAAAAGTAGGACCAGAACTATAGGGTAGATGGGGTATTATCTCTCAATGAACTATTTCTTTTTCTTTTTAAAAAAATGGGCTATTTTTTTGTTGAACTATTTCTTAACAGTCCTTTGCTATCGTTGAAGAATGAGCATGTACAGTCATGATAGAAATTCTTCAGTGCAACCTTCCAAGTCTTTTACTAACCAAAGCAGTTTTCCATTTTCTTAAAATGTCTTCATAATAAGCCCATGTGATTGTCCTGGACCTTTAGAAAAATCTATCAAGATGACCCTCTTGAAATCCCCAAAACAGTGGCCATGCCTTCTGAACTAACCCCTACTTTGCATTTCACTGGCCCCGTAGTCCCCCCCACAGAAGCCACTATATTGACTAGCCCTTGTTTTTTGGATCATCTGGTAAATAAATCCAAGACTCACCCACAGCTACAATTTGTTCCACATTTCATTAGCTTTTCATTAGCTTCAATCTTGCTTAAAAAAGTGACAGAAAGATCAGCTCTTTCAACTAGCTGATCTTCACACAATGGCTTTGGCACTCCTCCAAACAAAAGTTTGCTGAGGCCAAGATTCTCGTGTAAAACTGAAAAAGCCAAATCAAGTGAGATCCCAATTTCAGAGCACTATTACATCAACGGTAACCACCGTCACCATACACCTACTTCTGGACTTCAGCCAGGTTCTTCATTCATGAGGTTGATGAGGTTCTCTTGGCTCATCTTTCACGTCTTCCTCACCCCTCCTCCTTAAAACTTCTATTTTATGAGTTTAGTGTTCCCATAAACTTCTATTAGTCCTGATCTCAAAACCATTTTTCCCCATGGCATAAAGGTATCCTTAAAAAAAAAAAAGTGCCTTAATAACACTAAGTATATTACTGTCCTCAACCATCCACTGATGAACGAAGCATGTTTAAACATTCTGTTTGGAATAAATCGAGCAGGTTTGAACTGGAACCCCATCAGCAGTATTTTTAGACTTATTAGAACATGCGTTCTAATCTACTGTTTATATTCAAACAGCAAGCCCTTCTCCTCCTCCTTCCATTTTCTTTCAGTCCATCAGTAGCTCCTTTTCCTGGCCTGTTTCCTCAACAAACCTAGACCATCACCAAACCATTTCTGATCATGACACTGTAACCCTTGCCATCCTCTTTCTACTACTTTCCTCATCCTGAATCGGGGTTATAGCTTCCTTTTCCTGAGTCTGCATTGTTCTCGTTACTGTTAAGTGCTGTAGGGTCAGTTCTGACTCAGTGACTCTGTGTACAACAGAATAAAGCACCGCCTGGTCCGGGGCCATCTTTACACTTGTTCTATGAGCCCACTGTTGCAGCCACAGTGTGAATTCATCTTGTCAAGGGTCTTCCAACTTTGGGCTGTCCTTTTCCCAGGGAACTGGCCTCTCTTGGTAACATGTCCAAAGTCTCACATGAGACAAAAGTCTGCCGGCCGTGTTTCTAAGGAACATTCTGGCTGTACTTCTTCCAAGACACATCTGTTAGTGAATGTGGCAGTCCATGGTACTTTCAATATTCTTTGCCAGAACAATAATTCAAATGCATCAATTCTTCTTCATTCTTCTTTATTTAATGTCCAACTTTCACATGCACAGGAGGCAAGTGAAAATATGGCCCGAGTCAGGCGTGCATTGGCCCTCAAGGTAACATCCTTGCATTTTAATACTTTAAAGACATCATGTACAGGCGATTTACCCCAAAATGCAATACGTTGTTTGACCTCTGCTGAGTCCATGAGCATTGATTGTGGATTGAAGCAAGATGAAATCCTTGACAACTTCCATCTTTTCTTGATTTTATCTTGATGTAACCTATTGGATTGTTTTTAGATTGAGTTGTAATCTATACCAAAGGCTGCAATCCTTGATCAGTAAGCGCTTTAAATCCTCCTCAATTTCAACAAAAAGGTTGAAATCTGCCTATCATAGGTTGCTAATAAGCCTTTCTCCACTCCTAATATTGTATTCTTCTTATATCCAGCATGTTTATTTGCTCAACATGCAAATTGAACAAGTGTGGTGAAAAGATACGACTCTGGCACACACACTGCTCAATACACCATAACTGCCTCTTTACACCGTAACTGCCTCTTCATCCATGTAAAGGTCCCACATGAGCACAATG